CGCTGGTTAGGTTGCGACACGCGTATAAGGGAAGTTATAACAGTTGTTACAGATATTAAAGTTTATACGTATAATAAACATAAAATAGTTGTAATCATCGAGTTCAATGCAAAATTAGAGAGAGTCTGCTGTATGGACTTAAAATGTTAACTGAATATGTCTCCCTAACTGACGCTCAGATTCTGCACAAAAATGGACAATTTGGGAGGAGGAAATACGGTTATTCGAGTCTTGAAGCTCGTTTTTATAGTTGTTGACAATTCGTAACTATAAAAATGAGTCCCGAGGCTCGAATAATCGTATCTTCTCTTCTTAAATCGTCCATTTTCGTGGACAATCTCAGCGTCAATTACAGAGACATTACCGTATAATAAATTCTCTCCACTCGTCCCTCGGCTTGTGAACAAAAACGGACAATTTGCGAAGAGCAGATACAGGTCGTTCTACTTTTGGAATACGGATTCCTAGGAAACTGTGTGCTTAATGGATTCGACGACATTACTCGAACCGATAGGAGGATAGCAAAGTTAATTTAAAAGTTGTTTCCGAACTTCCGATTCTCGCGTAGCTCCGAATTTCTGCCATAACCGGGGAAAGTAATGTTAAATAAGTAAATCTTTGAGTTTAAAGTAGTTCACGTGCCGTTCGCTATCAACTGCCGAAGTCCTGATTCCGAATAAATACCACAAGTGGTTCGATCCAAAAGGAGGACAGCGCTATGTACGCTGGGAATCGATGGAACAAGCGAATCGGCGCAGCGTTATGAACTTAATGCTAACAATGCGTCCGAAAAGTACTCGCCTTTGCCCCGCGCCGGCCGAGCTGGCCTCCTATTGGTCGGTGTTTTTCGTCGATAACTCGTAAACGAAGCCGCGGATTGCATTTTCGCCGAGGAAAAAATTACTCCGAACGATCTCGGGAACCCGCTGTTTCCATATTTCCATTCCATATTGAGAGACACTTTTGGAACAGCCTGTATATCGTTGACGGCGTTTCCAATGGATAACCGAGGAAGTTGTCCGAACAGGAATATCGACGCTAGGCAAAACGTGTTTCGAGCATATTTATCTCATGCTCGGATAGACACGTTAGGCTCGTTTGCAGAAGAAACAGGCTCCCCGAGCCTGTAAATCACGGCGCGGCAAGCTAGAGACGATGTTGAACAGGAATTATTATTAACCGGGCATAACTCTATGCCGCGTTAAATTCGACTTGATTATAGCGAGACGAAGTATCCGACGAAATTGTTAATCCGATCCGAGCGCGCCGGCCAGAAAATATCCGCTTAATTCGGAGGAGACCACCTAAATCACTTACACTTCCGCGAAGTCTGTTAAATTGCTTGGAAACAGCCTCGGCCACTGCGTTTACGAAATACCGCGGAGCTACTGCTGAAAAATGAATTCCCGCGGCAGAAAACAAACTCGCGATCGTGTAATCCGAAATGAAATAATGTTGGAGAAACGTTGCCCGTCCGGCTGCTCCGGCACAGAGGATCCGGGCTTTTTTAAATCCCGTACGCCGTTGCAGCTGGTTCGCCCATGAGTTCGCTAAAAAATATTATTAACATATCGTTCGTCGGATTACGGGATCGCGGATCTAGATTCTCGCTGTATCGATCGTTCGAACGAAACAACCTAATTCGTGTCTCTCCCGTCCATTTTCGACGAATAAGCGATACGCGATACGAATTAATCATGTAAAACGATGTACAAACTGTCGGCAAACTCGATTTCGAATGTTTATTCCGTGACATCCGATAGCATCGAATCGAACGATTTAATTATTTAAGTAGTTCGAGTTATCGAAAATTTAATTTGAGAAGCTACGAGATCATTTGGACGGATAAATTCGGTATCGAAAATCTTATATTATTACGAGTATTATTATGAATTATATATATATATTGCGAGCCGAAAAAGAGAAGAACCTTTAATGCAATTGAAAACGTCGAGGTCGTAGCGTAAATATAAAACTCTGTCTGCAACGGTCGACTGCGAAAAATACTACGTCGAGCTTCCTTTAAATGGTCGAACGATAAAATAGAAAAGTGTGCCAAGACCACGTGTCGGACCGTAAACGAACGACGGTTTTCGTGATGTTGACGTTAGCTCGAAAGTCGATCAAAACGAGCCGTATCGCAAAAAGTATTATTCAACAGGACTGACGCTGACGTAGCCATAGAAACGTTCTATCGGGCTATAGAAAGTTCCCGAGCTCCGCATACGTCAAACATAGCACATACTTTGATAGCTTTGAAAGCTACAAATTTTTCTACAGATTTTACTTCCTCTAAATTTTATTTCAACTTCGATCGTTATATCTCGACGAAATTTTTACTTCGCAGAGAACGACTCGGTGACTCCTTTCTTCTATGCTCGTTCTCTTTAATTAAAAACTTCGGCAAGAGATAATCTTTTGTTACTTTTTAGGTGGATAACGATGCGACATTATTATTACAATAACTTTAGAAACAACATTTATTAAATCGAAGATATTAGGTTCAGGCATTAGTTTAAGATATTAACTTCGCATAAAGTAAACAAGATAACGTTTATATAAAATAACATGTGAACTGATCGAAGCGACTGTATCTTTTCTCGCGAAAAGTCATTCGTACAATCGAGCCAAAAGGCGACAGCCAAATAAGTAGAGCTCCCCGATATCGAGTGAAAGAAAGAACAATAATCGAACAATAGCAAAATAATGACAGATTTAACGATCGGTTCGCAGCGCCAGGCTCCTCCAGAAATCAAACGATTACAAGAGAGCAATTTAATTCCGAGAAGCCCCGCGAAATTAAACGGAGGAACGTAAATGCGACAGCAAAAAAAGCTAAGGATCAGATAATAGCGAAGTAAAGAATAGTAGTAAATTAACGATTCGAGATTCCATCTCCTTGCAGTACGAAATCAGATATAACAATGAAATAGTGAGGTAAGAATAGTCGTGAATTAACGATCCGAGATACAATCTCTGTCCTGTACGAAATCGGATATAACAATGAGATCTAGATCGGCCGGAGCTTCTCGAAAGTAAGCGACAGGAACCAGGAATCAGATAAATTGACTAAATAAATTGTCAATTCAAACTCTCGTCTGCTGCGCGAAGCGGGTCGCGGAAAAGGAAAAATGTATAATTTGCCTCGGTTCTCCGCCAATTATCTGAAAAAAGAGCGAGAAGATGAGACGACAAAGAGCGTCGACATGCGAAAATACGGCCAAAATTCAACTTTCCAAGCTTTTGGAAACACTTTTTCTGCTATAAAGTGGCGATCTGCTATATTGAAATATTTAATTCCGAAATACAGTAATATCTCCCTGGAATGCCAAATTTCGGGTTGCTGTGAATTTCCCTGTGGTCTAGTCCTGCGTCTATGCAATTTATTGCTACGTCGATGCTAATAGTGGCATGTGACCTCCGAATTGCCTTTGAATAGTGTCAAGTGGCCTCGGAATTGCCTTCGAATCGTGTCAAGTGGCCTCTGAATTGCCTTCGAACCGTGTCAAAAATTGAAAATAAAAAGGCGACTCGGTATTCTCGGATCTGCCGGTCTTAATTCCGAGCTGCGAAAATATCCAGGAGAAATGACTGCGGTACTAAAATAATTTCAGCATTGCTCAAGTAATTAGCATTACTCGAGGCCCGAGTACGAGGAGCATAACCGAAGGGACCGGTTCAAATGCTGGCCGCACGAAGGAAGTAATTGACAATCGGACGACCGTGGAGATCGGCGCCGGGGCCTCTTTGCATAGTCCTCTGCGAGCAATTTCGCGAAACGTGTTCCAGACACGCGCGGCCGTCATTGTCGAATGCAAAACGCGTCTCTAATTTATTCATACACGACAACCGGATACCGCGGGCGCCGATAATGGCCGCTGTTCTTCGTTACAGACGATTCTGTAATTCGAGTAATTAGTCGTAACAAAACCGCGCGGGGCGGGGAAAAGGGGGACGGCAGGTAGACTCGGCGGCCGAGCAGAAGAGCGGGGGACAAGTCAGCTCGTTGGGAACAGCACCCAAGGGAGATCCGCGCCGGATACGAGGGAGTCGGATATCCGTTCGCGAGGCGAGCTGTCGAAAGAAAACGCGGAAGAAAGTCCGACGGGAGCGAGTTTACGAGGAACAGGGAAGTTAAGTCGAGGTGTCATTAACCGAACGACCGGCTGTTTTGGTTAATGAGCTACACCTGCGCCTAAATGAACACGTAAGCTTGTTTTTATGGCTCCGGGACACCGTTCGTACACGTGCTACGCGGTGCGTCGCTCTATAAGCGACGACTAACTTTCCGGTTTTCATGATAAACACGTTTCTACGAGGCTGTACAGTCAAATACAGTAATGTCTCTTTAATTAAGATCGTTCGGAGTGACTTTTTCCTCGGCGAAAATGCAATCCGCGACTTCGTTTACGAGTTATCGACGAAAAACACGCGAATCGAATTGGATGCAATTGCATGAATGTTTCTGCTTCGGGGAATTATAGTTTTTTTGCAGCATTATAATCGCCGTGTGCCTTTAGCTCGTTAATTAACCTTAGATTTATCGAATAAGGCATATCCAAGTTACTGATTGCAAGATAAACAAAATTTGATACCTCCTATTCGATAAATACAGGCTCGATTATGCCCGGAAACATAGCAACGGAGGCACAGAAATCGGCCACACAGTAACTAGCTCCACTACTCTGCGCTATATCAGCAGCACACAAAGGGGATGTCCCCTAACTTTGACCGTAAACAATTACGAAATTCGTCGAGCGCCTTCGCTCGAGCGGCATACATCGCGATAATCGTCCTCGAAGTAAAAAAGCGTCCCATTAAACGGGACCTCTATGCGGCCTTCTAGGGAGTTCGTTCGAAAGGAGGCAAAGGGTCAGCAGGGTAGCCAAGCCAGGCCAGTTCGCCGGTTGTACAGGCGAGCGGATTCAATGGCTCGCGATAGGAAAATGGCAAAGCGGGGTCGGTCGAGTAACGATCTCTCGAATCCATTCTCGTTACAGCGTGAAACGAGGCTGACATGGGACCGCCGTCTGAAGGAAACTTTCATCGGGAGTTCCCGCGGAAAGAAACGCTCCTTTGGGAGGAGCCGTTCCGACTCAGCCAATCGAGCCGCCTCCTTGCGCAAAGCTTGACGACCCATAACGCAATCTTTCAAGCGCGGCGAGAGGAGACCGGCCGGCGTATCCTCCTCGGTTCCTGCCTCGTCGTTCTGCAAAAACGGACCGGGCTGACCGCCTAGCCTGCTCTCCTCGATCTTCCTCTCCTCGATCCTCGCACACCTGACGGATCAAAGGACTCTCTCCGCGAGCCAAGGGACAGCTGCGACGCATCCCTCTCCGAGAGTCCGTCTTCCCAGGGCTTGCTCGACGATCGGACAACAGCGAATCGCGCGCGACTTGGAACGCGTTTTACGAGCGACCGGATTCCTTCGTCCTCGTCCTTCTCTTGTTTTGCAAACTGCGATCGCCAGCCAGGATTGCTCGTTCGATGGATTACGCGAGCACCGTGGCGCGTCGTTCCCGCGCCTCGTCGACTAGCAGGAATTAAAGCAATCGCGGCGGCGGAAGCGTAAAAAGTTACAGCCCGCGGGACGTGTCGGTACTTTACGCCGATGCTCTATTTTGATCGCTGCGAGCTCGCTGCTACATTCTACGAGCTGTAACCGAGATGTCTTAACGAGGATGTCGGGATTTAAATACCCCGTTGATGGCCGCGAAGGAGACCCGATCGCGTGTTTTACAACGTTCGATCGGCGATCGTTCGATCCTGGATTTTAAATCGCGTCCGCAAGCGGAATAATAACCGGCGTCGCCGGATAGTTTATAGATTGGTTAAATTATTACCGCGACCTTCGCTGCATTCTTTTTTGCCTTCGCTTTGCGTTCATCTTTTTTTTTCAGGTACTCTGGTTATTCCTTCGGTTGTATATTATATAAATAAATTGCAAAGATCCTATATATATATTATTATAAATTTAAATAGCGTAATATTTCAATATTTAAATATATAATTAATGCTGCGAGTGATTGCTTGCAGGCAGAAGCAGTTGAATGTCCAAAGTTTACATCTCTAATCGTCAGACCGAGGACTCCGCGCTGCTGCGATTAGAGAGGTAATACTATACAATGATTTTAGGCTTGCGAGTCAACTCCTTTTGGAAAAGTTCGTCTCGCGTTTCGATAACATAGTAGCTGTCTTCGTGGGAAGATCGAATGGCAAACCGTCGGTTAGGTAAACAATTAAATTCTCTGGTTCGTGACTATAACTAGTAAGGTGAACACGGTGCATTTATTGTCGATGAATTATCCTGTGAGCCGTGCAACGTCAGCGTCGCATTGTTAACGAAACGCGAGGATAGTCGTCTTTCCTTCGAAAGATCTTCGTTTCCAAGAAGTATTTATTTTATTATCACTTCGAATGGGGGAATGTTTCAATTCGGTAAAGTGTACTGTTTTTCTAGACATAACTATTAAAGTGTGTATTCAAAGATTTAACCCTTGGTTTCTGTAAATTGTTTAACAGATAAGTGCACATTTTGATCAATATCAGTGTAATTATTTCCAATTAATTTCCAATCATTTATAAATAATTTCCAATATCCAAATAATTTCCAATTCATTTCCAATTCATTTCGAATAATTTCCAAATAATTTCCAATTCATTTCGAATAATTTCCAAATAATTTCCAATTCATTTCGAATATCTTCCAAATAACTAACAATCCATTTCCAATGTCCAAATAATTTCCAATTAACCTCCAATAATTTCAGCGATCTAGAAAAGCTTCAAAGCAGTAAGTTTCAATAAGATTTCATGAATTCCAGCCTCCGAAACATTTCGAAGAACCGGTCCTCGAGCTCCGGTAAAATATGACGTTGCGCCGTATCGATGCAGAGCGACTAATGCGCAAAAAGATTGAAGTGAATCAAGCGTGGATAATAGTTTTAAAGGCATTTTGCATATGGTCCTTTTAATCGAACGAATTGCGCGCTCTTCCCGTACGTTCCGAATGCTCGCGCGTAACCGAGTCCGCCGCGATAAAGGGAGAGAGAGTCATCGAGTCAAAAAATCTAGCANATTTCCAATTCATTTCGAATAATTTCCAAATAATTTCCAATTCATTTCGAATAATTTCCAAATAATTTCCAATTCATTTCGAATAATTTCCAAATAATTTCCAATTCATTTCGAATAATTTCCAAATAATTTCCAATTCATTTCCAATGTCCAAATAATTTCCAATTAACCTCCAATAATTTCAGCGATCTAGAAAAGCTTCAAAGCAGTAAGTTTCAATAAGATTTCATGAATTCCAGCCTCCGAAACATTTCGAAGAACCGGTCCTCGAGCTCCGGTAAAATATGACGTTGCGCCGTATCGATGCAGAGCGACTAATGCGCAAAAAGATTGAAGTGAATCAAGCGTGGATAATAGTTTTAAAGGCATTTTGCATATGGTCCTTTTAATCGAACGAATTGCGCGCTCTTCCCGTACGTTCCGAATGCTCGCGCGTAACCGAGTCCGCCGCGATAAAGGGAGAGAGAGTCATCGAGTCAAAAAATCTAGCATTCGATTTACATACGATCGAAACAAGAAAGAACGAACCCGTTCGCCGAGCCGGGTGGGAAACCGAGATCCAACTCGGGGGGATAGCGTCGCCGTTTTTTCGTCGGCCGTTTTCCGCGGTTGGAAAATTGTCCGCGGCGAACCGGCGCGGATACGTAATCACGTCGGAATGAAATTATCGGGCGAACGCTTTTACCATACAGCCGAGGACGGAGATAAAAGGACGGGGGTGTGATTAATGAAAAGCACCCTCGAGAAAAGCGCGGCTAAAATCCACGCGAGGGCGGCGTCGACGCGATCGTTGGCGAGCCGTCGCGTCGCGTCGTCTGCGGACAAATGCATTCGATGGATTATCGTCGTCCAAGGATCGCGCGATCTGTTAACCACGATCGCGTCGCATCTTCGCCTATAATTCGGAATTTCTATTAGAGGCGAGAAACCATCCACTGGTTCGTTAGCAGCGTCTTCCTGCGCCACAGGTCGGAGTCGAAGCTTTATCCTCGGAATGGAAGACCTGGCGGTTGCAATCGGGGGTTCAAAGGGTTCCAAAAATATCCGAATTATTTATTATTATATATTCCGAAAATATAGAATATTTATACCAGCAAAAATATTCCACATCGTTTCGATGCATCGTTCAAACCTGCGGCAGATTCGCTAATGGAAAGGATTTCACTATTACTTGGAATTAAATAAAATGTAAAAAAGCTTATAATAAAAATTTTTTAAAAATGCATTCGGTACTTCTCGGTAGCCTGCATGCAAGCTGAAAGTTTCATCGAAATCGATCCACCTCGACGCGAACTGTAAACAATTAAAGATCTCGAAAATCGTAGGTTTCCACGAATTTCGACCAAAAACAGTTAATTTTTACACGATTCGGTGGCTGTAGCTGGACAACGAGTGAACCAATTTCGATGTAACGTTCGCCTTCGTTCACCGAAAGTGCACTTTAGCCGTTCGAAATCCGTAATTAAGAAAATCCATCGTCGAAACAACGAAGCAACGAACAAAGCGTCCCGAAAATACTCGCCCGATTTTCATTCCCGGCGATCAGTTTCGCCAAGACTCCGATCCAGCGGCTGTCGAACGGAATATTCGGAATGCCAGCTGATTCTCGCTTTAATTAAAGAGCCCTCTATAATCGACGTTTCCGCTTTCGACGCTCGAACGACACCGATCGCGCGCCGCGAATTGTTAACCCGCCGCGGAGACGCGGCGACAACGTCGCTGTAAATCCGTGGATTTGCAGCCGCGCAACGTCTGAAACTCGGCGGCGGTCGCGGAGCATGCAAAACGTCAGAAATCATCAATATGCATAACCCGGAAAACGAGCAAACACGCGACGATATTGGGCGGCACGAGGGCGCACCGGAAGCGGCGCTCGCGGGGGCCCAGAAGTTCGCGCCGTTGTCGAGGTAACGTGTTTTGCATTCCCTTTGACCCTTAAATTTGGCATCGGCAAGTTCGCCGACCGACCCGAAAGTGTTCCCGCCGGCGCACCCCGCGCCGCCATCCACCTGCGCGTCGCCCTCCGCAACCCTAATCCCGAGCGTAAACGAGCCAGGATGTCGGGCGCGCGTGTTTCGCCGGAGAATTTCCGCGGTCCCTGCGCCTTTTTCTTGGCTCCTTTGCCTCAACGTGGCAAGGTGAACGTCGATCCGCTCGTCGGCCAAAGAAATTACGGGCTCGAATCGCGGCCGACGCGACTCCTCCGCGTTCTTTCCGCCTCGCGGAAAGGCGAGCCTCCAGGCCGGAAACGCTCGTTCGTCGCGAACAAAAGCGGCAATTATCGGAGAGAAACCGTCCGCCGATTCCAGGATTCTCCGAGGTTAGCGGAGAGAACGTTGGTCGCGAATACGCAATTCCGCGCGGCGGCCGTTCACATTTCCGAAACTGTTATGCGTTTTCTGGCGTAACGTTTTCCGTCTACCTGTTCCTAGGCAGTCGCAGCGGCTCCTCCCGCGAAAGTTCCTCCGCGCTCGTTGCGCGGTAAGATGTTGTATGGCTTACCGAGGAACTTGTCTAGTCTCTGAATTGGAAACTTGAAAGTTTTATCTCGCGACCGAAGAGCGCCGCTCCCTGCGGAACTGTATTTTCATTTTTTACCTTTATGGAGTGCAATTAGAGCGCGTTTGCTGCTTAGGATGCGTCTGCCCGGTGGATTATTCCAAATGAACCGTCGCTATGACGTTCGATTAGCAATAGCAATAGCAATAGCAATAGCAATAGTAATAGCAATAGCAATAGTAATAGCAATAGTAATAGTAATAGTAATAATAATAATAATAATAGTAATAATAATAATAAGAAGAAGAAGAAGAAGAAGAAGAAGAAGAAGAAGAAGAAATGTTAACGATTCACAATAAGTGAACAACAAATGGTTAATAACGATCGAAGAGCGTAACAGAGGGAAAACTCGTGCACCGATTTGCAGTGACAACGAGATAACAGCAATGTTTTTAGCCTCTCCGTGAACGACGATTTTTTAGATCTCGATTTTTCGCAAGATTGAACTTTCTCATCGCGTTTTTTAATTACTTGCTGCACCAACATCGGCGTCCTTTTCATGCCATTTACTTAATTCGCTCGATCCCGATGGTGTCCTAATACTTTTCGACGGGGATGTACATGCGGAAGGAAATTTCATTGCGTCTTTTTTTTGCAAATGCCCGGCCGGTTTCTGTTTTTCTCCGATCTTCGCCGCGCCGTACGGAAACGGACAACAAGAAGCTACGATATTTGCCGGCGTGAACGGAAACACGAAGAAAACTCGAGGAACATTTGGCAACTGGCGGCAATGTTTTCTATTTCTTTTTTTTTTAAGGGACCAACAAAGAGTTGTTCCGCGTTGCCTTGGTGCGGTCGTAGCAGGAAGATTTACCGCTCACTCTGCAGGAGATATCCAGCACGATAAAGGGTGCATAAAATACGCGCGTATTTTCGTCTTTTGGTTAGACGAAATATGCATGTGCATAAAATGTCCTGTCATTTTGTCGCGCGCGTTGTGTCTCACTTGTAAGTTTCATAAAAAAAATAAAGAAAAACAGAGAAGAAAAGAAAAGAACGCGGAGCCTAGAAACGAGAACGCACGTGAGATAACAGAGGGCGGGTTATATGTTATATATTTTATTATATTTCATTATATATTATATATTATTATATGTATATTATATATATATATAATATAATATATATAATATTATTATATTATTATTATATTATATATATTTCATATAATATATATATATAATATTATTATATTATTATTATATATTATCATATAATATATATAATATTATTATATATATTATATTTATTATATATTATATATTTTATTATATTTTATTATATTAACCATAAGTTTATGGCCCAACAATTCTCCATGGACATTGTTATTTAATTACTAGCTTATGCGAACATTGCATTAACAGTTACATATTCAAGGGACTTCAAATTATAATAATTCAACGGTATCGGAACACTATTGAAATTAGGCTTTCCATTCATCTCTAATTGCAACATTAATTCCTACATTAAGACTCCGCCAATATTGTTCCGGCGCGTGGAATCAATAAAAAAAGAACCCCCAATACAGCATTTCGATGCGAAGCGACAGTTAAAAGGCAGACCGCGATAGGAGAACAAGAATAGCAGGGTCGGCTCGTGTTTCATAAAATTCCCGTGTACATATTGGACCCGGTCTGGCCGGCAGGCTAGCGTATCAAATGTTTCGTTAAAATAAGCTCCGAGCTTCGTAATGCCGGCGTCCGATTTTTTGGTCCCTTTGCAAATTTTCGGCTCCCCCGCAATCGGAGAAAGAAAGACCGAGGGAGTGGAGAGGGCACAAAGAACCGGGAGAAAAGAAGGCGGCGAGGGGGGGAGGAGCGGAGAAGGGTAAACGGAGAGAAAAGAGGGCAGATATCGAGAGGGAAAATATGTATTCTCCTGGCCGCGCTTTCCCCGTGTTTTACATCGGTTCTGTTTTGCTATCCGCT